TAGGAGAAGCTCTAATCGTTAAGGGTAGTGTGTTCCAAAGTTTAGGAGCGTAGACTGAAAAAGACCTGTCTCCCTTGGTTTTCAAACGAGATTTCGGGACATTCAGAAACAACTGGACTGAAGATCTGAGTGATCTCTGAGGAGAATAAAAACGTAAAAAGTTCTGATATATAAATGGGGGCAAGTCCATGCAGTGCTTTGAACACGTAAGTTAAAACCTTAAAATCAATTCTTTGTCTCACAGGTAGTCAATGGAGAGAGGCTTGACCAGGTGAAATATGTTCCCTCTTTTTTGTCCCAGCCAGGAAACGTGCTGCAGCATTTTGGACAATCTGTAGTCGTGCGAGTGATGACTGATTGATTCCAGCATACAAGGCATTGCAGTAATCAAGCCTTGAGGAAATAAAAGCGTGAATAACGGTCTCCAAATCCCTAAAAGTAAGTAGGTGCTTTAACTTTCGAAGTCGCTTTAGCTGGAAAAAGCTGGCCCTGACCACCAAATTTATTTGTTTGTCAAACTTCAGATCTGAATCAAAAATGACCCCCAGATTTCTAACATGGGAGTGTTTTTTTAACTGAAGATGCCCCAAGAAATCACTGTATTTGTCAATCTGCAGTTTAGAGCCAAACAGAATAACCTCTGTCTTATTTTCATTTAACTGAAGAAAATTTTCGTCCATCCATTCTTTAATATCCTTTAAACATGCTAGCAGGGAAAAAACAGAATCACTACCAGAGTCTAATGGTAAATAGAGCTGGGTATCATCTGCATAGATGTGATAGGAGATATTATGATTCTCAAAGATAGAGCGTAATGGAAGCATGTAAAGAGAAAACAAAACTGGACCCAGAATCGAACCCTGTGGCACCCCACAGGTGATTTGCACTGGGGATGATGAAAATTCTCCAATTTCTATGGATATACTCCTATTTGAAAATAATAATAATAATGAATAAGACCTCTTTTTTGCATTTTGAAACAGAAACACACTACCAGTCAAAAGTTTTTGAACATTAAGAATTTTAATGATTTTTAAATAATTATCTTCTGTTCACCAAGCCTGCATTTATTTGATTCAAAATAAAGCAGTAAGATTGAGAAATATTTGTACTATTTAAAACAACTTCTTTCTATTTGAATATCTTTTAAAATGTAATTTATTCCTGTGATCAAAGCTGAATTTTCAGCATCATTACTCCAGTCTTCAGTGTCACATGATCCTTCAGAAATTATTATAATATTCTGATTTGCTGCTCAAGAAACATTTCTGATTATTATCAATGTTGAAAACAGTTATTCTGCCTAATATTGTTGTGGAAACCATGATATAGTTTTGTCAGGATTTTTTGATATATATTTTGAATATATTTTAAAATGTAATTTATTCCTGTGATCAAAGCTGAATTTTCAGCATCATTACTCCAGTCTTCAGTGTCACATGATCCTTCGGAAATCATTCTAATATGCTGATTTGCTGTTCAAGAAACATTTTTATTATTATTATTATCAATATTTAAAACAGTTGAGTATTTATTTATTTTTTAATTATAGAAATTAATACTTTTATTTAGCAAGGATGCTTTAAATTAAAGTGATGATAAAGACATTTATAATGTTACAAAAGATTTATATTTCAGATAAATGCTGTTCTTCTGAACTCTCTATTCATCAAAGAAACCTGAAAAAATTCTACTCAGCTGTTTTCAACAATAATAATAACAATAAATGTTTCTTGAGCAGCAAATCAGCATATTAGAATGATTTCTGAAGGATCATGTGACTGGAGTAATGATGCTAAAAATTCAGCTTTGAAATCACAGGAATAAATTACATTTTAAAATATATTCAAATAGAAAACAGTTATTTTAAATAGTAAAAACATTTCCAAATTTTACTGTTTTTTCCTGTACGTTGGATCAAATAAATGCAGGCTTGGTGAGAAGAAGAGACTTCTGTAAAAAACATAAAAAATCTTACAGTTCCAAAAACTTTTGATTGGTAGTGTACTCCTTTCAAAATGAGCTTCTTGAAAAACCCACTTTGAAAACTCACACTCTTTAGGTTTAAAATAGATATTATTGCAAAGACTCTTCTTCACTTACCTTCACATAGTTGTGGGTCTTGACAAGTGCTTTTCCAATCTTACTGGCCACAGCTCCATCTTTGGGGTTTTTCTTCAGGGCTTGTTCATACACCTCAATGGCCAGCTCCGGCTGTCAGCAGAGAACATTATTTTCATACACAAACACCAATGTGATGACAAAAAATCAATATGTCCATCTGAAAGTTTAAAGTTTTTTTACTCATTAGACATGACAGATACAATGTTTAGGTGGAAATATTACATTTACATACTTTTAACAGTATTACACACATATATATATA